GGTAGTCAGATCCATCTGTTTGCGGTGCTTTTTCCAACTTGCAACTTGGGCCACTATATTCTCTCTTCTTGCCTCCCTCTGCTTCCCTTTGCACTAACTATCCTGAGTTACCTTATACTTAAGGAAATGGCCTTGCCAAAGTTGATCCATTTCAGGTGCAAATCATAACAGGACTTTTGTGCTATGATAAATATAAAGTGATATAAAACAGGAACTTGCAACCAGACTGACTCCTTATGCTGCCCCTGAATCTTAAAAAAAAAAATGCCCACTCCTTGTTGGGCATCTACCACGTGCCAGGGGCTTCACCAATATCTCATTTTAATATTTCTGACAGGCCTGCCCTATGGGTGTTACTGTCAGCATTTTACAGGAGACACTGAGAGAGGTAAAGTAGCCTGGGCTACATTATGTAACTAGGAAGTGGCTGAGGCAAGGCCTGAAATATTTAAAGAGACAGACCTGAAAAGGTGGGGTATCTACCCCCAGGTAATTCAGTTGCAAAAAGCACACTCCTAACCAGTAAAATTAGAAGAAGGGGAAAAAAGTCCAACAAAGTTCAGGTTTCCTGTGATGACTTTGTCAATTTTTTTTAATATAAATTTTTTTTTCTAGGAGAAAAGTGTTGGTGCTTAATCTTTGCTAGTACCTGAGCACCCACATAGTACTCCTGGAGGTCCCTGCAGCCTCCATTGGTGGCAGGGCTCCCAGGCTCTGTGCCACCGCAGTCAGGACTGGCAGTCAGAGGTGGAGCCCCAGCGCCCAACAGGGCAGCAGCGCTACTCTCCCCGTAGGCCCTTGGAGCTGCCACACCGCATTGGATCGGGCATTCATTTCTGTTCTCTTTAGTGGAGGTAAAATGATCTTTTCCAGGTAAAAGAGAATAGATGTATGTGGGACTTCTTGTGCCTCCTCCTGGGCTCATGGCCTCCAATGCATGGAGTTATAAGACAATCTGGTTTTCCTTTCTTCCCCCAAAGATGGCCATGGCTCTTCTTTGAGGCCACTAGGGCATTGGATGAATAGTTTTAAATGTCTTTACGACCAAAGTTGGTTGGCTCTCTCCTTCTAAAGAAACTCATCATTTTTGGCATGATGGTTGTCTCAGAGCAGAAATTAGGAATGACAGGCTTCTGGAAAAGCCAGAGACCTGGCTGACTCTCCTGGCTCTGCACAGTTCCATGAAGTAGGTACCCCTCCCCGCTCATGTTATAGATGAGGAAGCTGAGGCACAGAGAGATTCAACAACTTGCCCCATGTCACACAACTGGTCAGTGACAGAGAGGGGACTGAGACCTATACTATGTACCTTGATGGGTGCGAAGGTGCAGAGTGGGAGATAAGGATGTTTAGAATGAACAGAATGAACATGCAAGTCCATGCTGCCTTTGTTGGTGTTCTGAATTCAAGGGCAGAAGTCGAGATTTTGCAAAGGATGAAGGCTATACTATAGATCAGGGTAGCTGGGAATGAGTACACTGGTATGTGCCCGGTGACCTGGCAAAATGTGACAGTGAAGGAACACCCTCTTTGGGATGAGGTTGGAAGAAGAAGAAAGTTTTCCTATTCTAGGTTGATAATCCCTTACCTGACACCTCCCCCACCCCCAAACTGATCCTATTGATGAAGGACCTTCTGAGCAATAAAATTGTGTTTAATCAACCTTATGCAAATTAGCTTCTGTTGTCCAGAAGCACCGAGGGATTCCTTCCCTCAGACATTTCCAGCACTTAGATGAATGACGACGTTAGAACCCATTCATCTAGATAATGCTTGAGCACCTGTGATGCCCTGGGCCTTGTGCTGGAGGTCACGAGGAAGAGTAAGATGTGGCCTCTGTTGCGGGAGTACTTACAGTTCTATGGGAAATTGACACAAAAGCAAGGATAACTCAGGGAAATGAGCAACACCCTGTTAGCTTCATGAACCAAGTGCCATGGAGATTAGTCCCAGGAATCCAGGGGTCTTCCAGGGGTCTTTTGAGCAACCTACTGGTACTTGTTTCTCCCAGGGGAGTGAAAAATCAGGCAACCTGCTGCTATCTCCACCCACCTAGCCTCACTCAGTTTCTCACCCTGGATTTTCTGGAACTGGTGATGATAGTGACCACCTGTCGCACAGTGCTTCCCTATGAGGGGACCAAGTTTCTCTGCCGAAAAGAGAGAGAGAAAAAAACAACAACGAGAGAGAGAGAGAGAGAGAGAGAGAGAGAGAGAGAGAGAGAGAGAGATAAGGCACATGGTTTACTGATTCTTTACCCCCAGACATCGGACTCCAGAGCCACTGGTTGGGGTGCGGAACCAAACATCCAGAAAGAACAGCGGGGAGGACATTCTGTGCCCCCCAGCCCGCTCCCAATTCCCTAAACCCCACTTTTTCTCCCTGAAACAAAGTTCCTTAGTCTGGGGCCTTCGGACGCTGGATGTAATGCCTAAAATATGTCGCAAGGTGGCAACATTGTGGCGAGAAATAGAGCAAAAAATCCAGGGTTGTTTTTTTTCAAAACATATTTTCCCTATTAATGTTTCATTTAACTTAATTAGAATCTGGTAAACTAATTAAAGTAGCTACGAGCCCCGCAATCAGCAATAATTCGTATAATTATTGATAATTACATCCATACCAATCGTTTGGTTATTAACATTTGGGGGGGAACAAACCACTTCTGAAGGGACGCCGGAGCCCAGGAGGGCTTTTGCGACAGAGCTTTCTGGGTCGGATCCGCCTACACCTCCGATCCTCAGAGATTCCGGCCCAGATGGGGCGCCCTTGCAGTCAGGCCCCAGCCGCCTACGGCTTTTTTTTCTTCACTTCGTTTGGGAAATTCGGAAAGGAAAGGCGAAAAGGAGTGTTTGTTAGGCTCGACTGCGTGGGCCGCAGCCACTGACCTTCCTGCCCGGGTAGTCACTGTTTCCCATTTTACCAAGAAGGAAAGTGCGGTTGCGCCAAAGGGGAGAGGCGCGTGCACCCGCCCACAGCAGCGCTGCAGCCCCGCACCAGCTGCGCTCGCCCTGAGGGCGCGAGTCACTTCCTCTCCGGACCCCAGTTTCACTGTTGGTGCCGCGAAGCCTGATCTGGTCCGGCCCACCCCCAGGAAATGTTCCTGAAGGGTCCCTGCCGGGGGACCGTGCGTCTCAGGGCCGCTTCCCTCTGCGACGCCTCGCCATTTACCCGGCGCCCTCACCGCCACTCTCCCTCCTGTCCCCTTTATCTAGCCCTCGGAATAGGTGCCCTGGGGGCTGGCTTCCTGCCTTGACCGTGCGATGGGCCTCCCAGCCCGCGCCCCCTCCGGGGGTCTCCGATCGCGCCCCCCTAGTCGGCTCCGCTCCCGGCCTCTAGACGACTCGCCGTCAAACTTCCCGGCCATCTGCTCTCCAGGCGGCGTGGGACCGCACGCCGGCCTCCAGGGTCTCCGCTCCGGGTGCCCCAGGCCGCCCCAAGTTCGATGGGCAGCGAGAGCCTGGGTGTGTCGCGAGGGCGGGGTCGTAGGGCGCTGGTCCCCGCGGCGGACCGCTGCTGCCCAGCTCTGCGGGGCAGGGCCTGAATGTTATGCTACAGGGCCCTACACCAAGGCCTAGGAACGACCTGCTAGTCAGCCAAGGGCTGCGTGGTTCCCAATACTGAGCCCTCTCCCACTGCATTTATTTATTTTTAAATATATTTTTATTGATTTCAGAGAGGAAGGGAGAGGGAGAGAGAGAAACATCAATGATGAGAGAGAATCATTGATCAGCTGCCTCCTGCACGCCCCCTCACTGGGGATGGAGCCTGCAACCCGGGCATGTGCCCTTGACCGGAATGGAACCTGGGACCCTTCAGTCCTCAGGCCGTCGCTCTATCCACTGAGCCAAACCGGCTAGGGCTCCCCCTGTATTTACACTTTCCTCCTACCCCACGGCAAAAAGTGAGCAGCAGCTTCCATCCTTTCCCTATAGCCCCACCAGCAGGTTCGCTGTGGAAACTGAGGCCGACTGGAGGTCCCGGGCCAGGTGAGGCCTTAG